AGTGTCTTCTCTAACACATATAACCAACAAGGAAAGCATATAATAATTAGTCTTTATCATAGTAAACTGTATTTCAAGGTTTTTAGGGTATATAATCTGTGACATTTGCGATTATACAATATGTTGGTCGTACAACTAGAATATTCTGTGTAATGCCTCGTACACACTATAAGAAAATCGTACGAAAATTTTCGTACGAGGACCCGAACGTCAGTACACAGCTTTCGAGAGCCGATCACGACAATTCGTACGACAATATCCGAAGGGACAAGCGCAAAAATTTTTCTCGTATGACACCAGATTGCACGATTTTCATTTAATCAGTACAGTAGTCATCTGAAAATACAATACAAGTACAACACAATACATGACATCACTTTCGAATTTCTTTCATAGGAGAATTTTCGTATCTTTAGTAACCTTTTCCCTTTCGATGTGAGACTAGCAGGCAAAAAAAAAAACGGCCGATCGTTCATCCGATATTCTCATCATGTGTACGGGGTAATAAACTTAGGGATCATCCTTATGATATTGGGTTTGCACTAGTGTACACGAGTGTAAATCTGTCTTGTACCTGGTGGATCAACAATAGTAAGAGGTTTGGAATGTCACACTTTTTGCTTTTTATTTATGTATCCTGGGGTTATGCTAATGTGATCATTCAGGAGCTACAACAAAACAAGTGGATGGCTCTGTAAGGACTCTCCAGTAATCTTTATTGTAACAATGTCCACAAGATAAAATCATCACCGCATCAGAACAACGAAGAAGTATTAATGTTTTTCACGCTCAAGGCACTTACGAGCGTGAAACACATTAACACTTCTTCCTTGTTCTGATGCTGTGATGATTTTATCTTTTGGACATTGTTAACATGAAGATTACTGGAGAGTCCTTACAAGAGCGTGCAGCCATCCAAATGTTTCGTTGTAGCTCCTGAGCGATCCTGGTTGAGAAACCCTGATTTATAGTGATGATCTGGATCCATAAGAAATGTGAAATTTGTATTATTGATACCCTAATACAGCCTTCCTGTTATCACGGAGGAACCTTGAAATAGTTTCCACATCTCAAGAAACCCCTGCCAATAATTTCTACATCTACCGCATGTTAGCATGAACATTACATTCAAATATAAGAATAAAGTAATAGGTAATTGGGAGCCAGTGGAAAGAATGCTCCTCACTTTGGTGGTCAGTGGGAAGAATGCTCTTTCCATTGGGGGTCAGTGGGAAGAATGTCCTTTACGTTGGTGCACAGTGGGAAAATATCCTTTACATTGGTAGTCAGTGGGAAGAATGTCCTTTTACATTGGTGCACAGTGCAGTGGGAAAATGTCCTTTACATTGGTGGTCAGTGGGAAGAATGTTCACTTACATTGGTGGTCAGTGGGAAGAATGTCCCTTACATTGGTGATCAGTGGGTAAAATGCTCCTTACATTGACGATGAGTGGGAAGAATGTCCTTTACAATGGTGCACAGTAGGAAGAATGTCCTTTACATTGGTGGTCAGTGGGAAGAATGTCCCTTACATTGGTGATCAGTGGGAAAAATGCTTACATTGAGGATCAGTGAAAAGAATGTCCTTTACATTGAGGATCAGTGGGAAGAATGTTCCCTTACATTGGTGGTCAGTGGTAGAAGAATGCTCCTTACATTGGTAGTCAGTGGGAAGAATGCCCTTTACATTGGTGATCAGTGGGAAGAATGTCCTTTACATTGTGGTCAGTGGGAAGAATGTCCCTTACATTGGTAGTCAGTGGGAAGAATGCCCTTTACATTGGTGATCAGTGGGAAGAATGTCCCTTACATTGGTGGTCAGTGGGAAGAATGCTTCTTACATTGGGGGTCAGTGGGAAGAATGTTCCTTTACTTTGGTAGTCAGTGGGAAGAATGCTTCTTACATTGGGGGTCAGTGGGAAGAATGTTCCTTTATATTGGTGGTCAGTGGGAAGAATGTTCCTTTTTATATTGGTGGTCAGTGGGAAGAATGTTCCTTTTTATATTGGTGGTCAGTGGGAAGAATGTTCCCTTACATTGGTGGTCAGTGGGAAGAATGCCCTTTACATTGGTGGTCAGTGGGAAGAATGCCCTTTACATTGGTGATCAGTGGGAAGAAGAATGTCCCTTACACTGGTGGTCAGTGGGAAGAATGCTTCTTACATTGGGGGTCAGTGGGAAGAATTCTCCTTACATTGGTGATCAGTGGGAAGAATGTTCCTTACATTGGTGATCAGTGGGAAGAATGTCCCTTACATTGGTGATCATTGGGAAGAATGTCCCTTACATTGGTGATCATTGGGAAGAATGCTCCTTACATTGGTGATCAGTGGGAAGAATGTTCCTTACATTGGTGGTCAGTGGGAAGAATGTTCACATTGGTGATCAGTGGGAAGAATGTTCCTTACATTGGTGATCAGTGAGAAGAATGTTCCTTACATTGGTGATCAGTGGGAAGAATGTCCCTTACATTGATGATCAGTGGGAAGAATGCTCCTTACATTGGTGATCAGTGGGAAGAATTCTCCTTACATTGGTGATCAGTGAGAAGAATGTTCCTTTACATTGGTGGTCAGTGGGAAGAATGTCCATTACATTGGTGGTCAGTGGGAAGAATGTTCCTTTACATTGGTGGTCAGTGGGAAGAATACTCCTAAGGTTAGTGGTAATTGAAATTAATGTACCTTGTAATTGTTTTAATTCTTAAGCCACGGCAAGATAAGGACCCTTGCTGTGGAAACAGTGGTCTCTCTACAGAAGTCTGAAAAACCTTTTAGGCGTACCATCAGCTAAGCTGATGCTCACTACTGATTGGAGATCTTTAGCTCTGACTCGACAATGAATAGGATGAAGTTGAGTCCTAATACATGGGGGTTGGGCTTCAAACATTTGCGTTTATTTATTGGAAGTGTCCAAAGTAACATACAGTGGATATAAAAAGTCTACACACCCCTGTTAAAATGTCAGGTTTCTGTAATGTAAAAAATGAGACATAGATAAATCATTTCAGAACTTTTTCCACTTTTAATTTTAACCTATAAACTGTACAACCCAGTTGACCGATAAACTGAAATCTTTTAGTTGGAGGGAAGTAAAAATAAAAAAAAAACTATTTGTAACTGCTCATAATTCCCTCCACCTTGACTAAGGCCCCAGTTCCAGCTGCAGAAAAACAGCCCCAAAGCATGATGCTGCCACCATCATGCTTCACAGTGGGTATGGTGTTCTTTTGCTGATGTGCAGTGTTGTGTTTGCGCCAAACATATCTTTTGGAATTATATCCAAAAAGTTCAACCTCGCTTTCATCACACCATAACACATTTTCCCACATGCTTTTGGGAGACTTCAGATGTGTCTTCGCAAAATTTAGCCGGGCTTGGGTGTTTTTCTTCGTAAGAAAATGCTTCTGTCTTGTCACTGTACCCCATAGCCCAGACATATGAAGAATACGGGAGATTGTTGTCACATGGACCACACAGCCAGTACTTGCCAGATATTCCTGCAGCTCCTTCAATGTTGCTGTAGGCCTCTTGGCAGCCTCCCAGACCAGTTTTCTTCTCGTCTTTTCATAAATTTTGGAGGGACGTTCAGTTCTTGGTAATGTCACTGTTGCGCCATAGTTTCTCCACTTAATGATAACGGTCTTCAGTGTGTTCCATTGTATATCTAATGCCTTGGAAATTCTTTTGTACCCTTCTCCTGACTGATACGTTTTAACAATGAGATCCCTCTGATGCTTTGGAAGCTCTCTGCGGACCATGGTATTTGCTGTAGGATGCGACTAAGAAAATGTCAAGAAAGACCTACTAGAACAGCTGAACTTTATTGTGTGTTAATCAGAGGCACTTTAAATGACAGGTGTGTACTGACCGCTTTACTCTGAACACAGCTACATACCCACATATAAATAGGTGTGCACACTTATGCAACCACAAACACATAATTTTAGTTTTTTTATGTTACCACCCCCCCCCCCCCCAAAAAAAAAAGAAAAAAAAAAGATTTCAGTTTGTTTTTCAACCGAGTTGTTCAGTTTATAGGTCACATTAAAGATGTAAAAATTTCTGAAATGATTTGTCTTTTTTTACATCACAGAAACCTGACATTTTAACAGGGATGCGTAGATTTTTTATATCTACTATATATGGCAGAACGTCATAAACGCCTCATGCTTATTGGGTTGCCTTTGATATCAGTGCCGTTGTAATGGTTGATGATAGTAGTTCCCAGATTGGCTTCTTGTATTCCCTGATTATTGGTTCTGGCGCCATTGCATTTGATCACTTGTGATGTTGCATTAAAAAAGGAGTGCGGTCGGACGTGGCATCGCTGAAGGGAGGGAGCAACTTGTGTGGGAGTGAATAGACTCTCAGAACATTCTCCTTTAATCTCTGCAAATAACAAGATATAATTAGTTATATGAAGAGTGGCGGACTGCGTGAGCCAGACCACTTATTGATGAGAAATCTAAAGGCAAATGCTGCACGCAAAAGCTTTTATTTGTCGCACGCGAGCAACGACTGACTAATGACATCTACAGATTTCAAAGCTTGAGGGTAAAAGGTACATTAGCTTTAAAACTGAGCTGTAAATCTGACCTCCGGCCTTCCCTTCAGTCTTGCACAGTTGTAGAGGCTCCTCTCCTGGACTGAAATGACTTGCTTTGATTTTACTGTACACTGTGAGCTTCTCACAAAGTGCTTTAGAAGCTGCAGCAAATGAAATATTTCCTGACTGGGGGACCTTTTCATCTTTCCTCCTCAGTCTGTCCTATCCCTTTTATTCATTGGATTTTAGTTTTTCCAATCATGGAAGGGGAGCAAGAACAGGTTCTTGTAAGTAATGAAAAAAATTTGTAAAAATTTTTTTTTTAAATTATTATTATTTCTCGAATATTGTGGAGAGGGAAGGAAAAAAATGAGACATTGTCTGCTTTAAAATAAAAAACAAAACAAAAAAAACTGTAACCCTCTGAATGTGATGGTGTCCCTCCATTGCAGGTACTCTGAACGGAGTAACACAAAGTGCGTGGGAATCACCATAGAGACTCGGCCGGACTATTGCCTGAAGCGTCATCTGAGCGACATGTTGTCTTACGGCTGCACCAGGCTGGAGATCGGCGTGCAGAGCGTGTATGAAGATGTAGCCAGAGATACCAATCGGTAGGTAGCGTCTTTATTCATACAGCAAGGTGGCACCACGTCTGGGCAGTTATAGCTGAAAGACCATATCTTGATTGTGTTTGAACACTGATTGCTGTATTATTATGTTGATTGGAATGTCCACCTTGACCTCTGGACCACTCAACACGATGAGTTTTGGAATAGGGAAACCAGAGTATATTCACTAGTAGTATATGTTGCACTTTGTCTTGCATTATCACAGGTACATGTCCACTAAGTGTGGAGCATAGTGCCTGGGCGATCATAGCTACGGAAATCCATGGATTCTAGTTGGAGTAAGGTAACAGCAGAACATTGCTTTATAGGAATACTCCAGTGATAAGGTAGTTAGCTGCAAGCTTTGACGGTTGAGGCATCTGACCATTGCTCCTCTGTTTGGATGGAGTCGCCTATGTTGGCCTACCTTGGACTATGTTGGCCTACCTTGGACTATGTTGGCCTACCTTGGACTATGTTGGCCTACCTTGGACTATGTTGGCCTACCTTGGACTATGTTGGCCTACCTTGGATTATGTTGGCCTACCTTGGATTATGTTATGGCCTACCTTGGACTATGTTGGCCTACCTTGGACTATGTTGGCCTACCTTGACTGTATGCTGGTCTACTTCGAACCACATACTAATGATGTCAGTTGCAGTAAGTCTTTTTGAGCCAGCACAAGTGGACTAAGAATTGCCACCTACAGGCTGCTCCTTTTGAAGCATTTAACCCTTACATGCTTAGTCTTAGTGAGTCGTTAGGGCTTAGTTGTCTCTGTGACGTGACAATGCATGTGAAATGCATTAGAAGTGGTGGCCTGTAGGTAGGGACTATCAGTATGCTTGTACTGGCTCAATAAAGACTCACTTCAAGTGAAATCAATGGTGTGTGGCCACCTTTTGGCTTCAATACAGAGAGCCAACAGGCTCTTGGTGCTTTTACAGCAAGGACTGAGGAGGATTCATAGGGTTTGGAGCAGTGCCCTACATTTGTATGTCTGCTAAGAAAAGACAGGGTATGCTACAGATAAGAGAGAAAAGGATATAACTGTTTATTGGTTTAACATTTAAATTGTGCATACATCTTTAGGTCCATTGGGTGAGCATCTTTTTTGTGATGAGCGAAGGAATCCAGCTACAGTTGCATAATTATAGCTGTGCCATTGTGCAGCAGAAGTAGTGTCCGCAAGGGTATTGTAGAGTAAGGGTCAACAAAATAACAAAAAGGGAGCACAAAGGCCTAGTGGATTACCAAACCTTTTCCTTTTTTTTTTTTTCACTTAAAAGAACAATAAATAAAAACATCCAAATGGCAAAAAGTGTTGACGAAAGAAAAACCCAAGTGACAATTGGGTCAAGATGTGGAAATGTTGTACAGAAACCTAGGTGTCACTCAGACACACATACTGATGTGTTACAAGGGGTGAACCCTCTTCCTTAGAGCTCTGTAAACTCCGTAAGGGTCAGCCTAAAAAAAATACAAAGGACCTTATGGTTGGCTTTTATAGAATGTAGGTCAGAGCTATTGCTTCATGGAGGAAACTGGCTTCTTTTACTGTCAGCCTGAGTATACTTTTATAGTTTTACTTTTAGTTAGGGTAAAAATAAAAAAGCAAGAAATAAGGAAGAGTGGGGGATGGGGATTTGTTGGGGTGGATATGGCTGCAGGAAGGGTGAGATAGTGGTAGAAGCAGTTGGTGTCAGACTGCTGAAGTGGTCTAGAGTTGGAGAGATGTATTTATAATAGGATAATAACTTGTCCCAAGGAGCCCATGCAGTTTGAAACTTTTTTAGATCACTATGTAGCCCAGCTGTTATCTCCATCAATCGCTCTTCTTTGATTAGGTTATGTAGTTCACGGGAGGTTGACGGAAGGGTCAGCGAAAAGCCATGAGCAGAGTGAGTGAGGTGCTTTTTAAGGTGGTTTTTTTTTTTTTTTTTTTTTTTTTTTTAGAAAGCCCTGCTATTGGGAGATCCAGTAGATGGGCCAATGGATTGTTGGGGATTGAGTAACCAGATATCCCAGAAAGAAGGACGTTGACTTCTTGTCCAAAGGGCTTTCTGAATAATATGATCTAAAGAGCCCACATTTGAGTTTCATCTCCAGCACAGGTTACTGGGAGCTAGATAATACCTATGCATCAGAATATATTGTGCATTTTCTTTATATAAGATGTTTGCTATTTTCTTATGTTCCTTAAATGTTGGAATAGTATGACAACATAGAGATTTATAAGTGACCTCACAAGCTGGTTGCGAAATGAGACCCACCAACGAGGTCTAGCAGTATCTGTTAGAGCTGGTGGAAAGAGGGGGCAACCTATCAAATCGTCTAGAATTCCAAACCTTTATTGGTGTTTTTAGGGTTTGGGAGAGGTGTGTTTTGGGTTCAGGCAGGCTGGATCACCCAGTGCTTGAGAAACTTAGAAGAGAACCCTGTGCGTGACGTGAGTTGGTTTCAAATATTTTTCCATGGATCCTTAGCAGATCCTGACCATGTATGTTGTGTCCGAGACTGAGGAATTTAAATGAAAGGTGGATGTATAGTCAAACGAAAATATAAATTGAGATCATCCCATAGCTTTACATGCACCAAATCCCAATCTACAGTAGTGTCCATTCAACTGACACTCTTCACCCGCAGCAGAACAACAACTCAATCTCATACATTTACCTTAGGAACAACAACACAAAAAAGTCTTTTGGTGGGACATTTGAGATGCTAAAGTGATGATATCACACATTTTATAAAAACCATTTATTTTATTAGTACAAAAAAAGATAAACTCAGAGTTTAACCCAAAATAACCAATTGTTAAATTGTTATAGAGTCATAAAAAAAATCTGGGGTATGGCCCAACCCAGAACCATACTGCATAATTGTCCCTACGACCCACTATGCATCTTATGTATCCTTTTCATACCAAATACAGCTTCAACTAAATTATAAATTAACCTGAATAAATTAGTAGGAATAGGCGTCACTCTGCTCAACGCGGAGATGAATTGAGTATGGAAAAGTGATATTGGCAACCCAACTGATAACTAGATTACATAAGTCTTTATATTAAAAACTACCCTTGCAGTGGGTTTCCCCTGGCACTGCAAGGGTCAAATGCTCCATTTTGTCTGGTATATCATTTAAAAGAAGTTTTACGGTGCCTTGAAAAAGTATTCATACCTCCCTTGAAATTTTCCACATTTTGTCATGTCACAACCAAAACCATAAAGGTACAGCCATGGCCAAAAGTTTTGAGAATGACACAAATATACATTTTTCACAAAGTCTTCTGCTTCAGTGTTTTTAGATCTTTTTGTCAGATGTTACTATGGTAACATGAAGTATAATTACAAGCATTTCATAAGTGCCAAATGCTTTTACTGACAATTACATTACGTTTATACAAAGAGTCAGTATTTGCAGTGTTGACCCTTCTTATTTAGACCTCTGAAATTCACCCTGGAATGCTATCAGTCAACTTCTGGGCCACATCCTGACTGATGGCAGCCCATTCTTGCATAATCAATGCTTGGCGTTTGTCAAAATTTGTGTGGGGTTTATTTATTTTATTTTTATATTTTGTTCACCCGCCTCTTGAGGATTGACCACAAGTTCTCAATGGGATTAAGGTCTGGGGAGTTTCCTGACCATGGACCCAAAATTTTGAAGTTTTGTTCCCAAAGCCACTTAGTAATTTTTGCCTTATGGCAAGGTGCTCCATCATGCTGGAAAAGGCATTATTCATCACCAATCTGTTCTTGGATGGTTGGGAGAAGTTGTACCATTCTTTATTCATGGCTGTGTTTTTTAGGCAAAATTGTGAGCCCATTCCATTGGCTGAGTGGCAACCCCACACATGAATGGTCTGAGGATGCTTTACTGTTGGCATGACACAGGTCTGATGGTAGGGCTTAACTTTTCTTCTCCAGACAAGGTTTTTTCTGGATGCCCCAAACAATCGTAAAGAGGATTCATCAGAGAAAATAACTTTACCCCAGTCCTCAGCAGTCCAATCCCTGTACCTTTTGCAGAATATCAGTCTGTCCCTGATGTTTTTCATGGAGAAAAGTGGCTTCTTTGCTGCTCTTCTTGACACCAGGCCTTCCTCCAAAAGTCTTCGCCTCACTGTGCATGCAGATACGCTCACACCTGCTGGCTGCCATTCCTGAGCAAGCTCTGCCCTGCTGGTGCCCCGATCCCGCAGCTGAATCAACTTTAGGAGACGTCCTAGTGTTTGCTGGACTTTCTTGGGTGTCTTGATGTCTTCTTCACAACAATTGAACCTCTCTCCTTGAAGTTCTTGATGAATCCCTTTTGTGCAAAGCAATGATGACTTGATGTGTTTCCTTGCAGGTAACTATGGTTAACTGGGGAAGAACAATGATTTCAAGCACCTCCCTCCTTTTAAAGTTTCCAGTCTGTTATTCTAACTCAGTCAGCATAACAGGGTGATCTCCAGCTTTGTCCTCGTGTGTGTTAATGAGAGAATCGCTGACATGTCAGCTGGTCCATTTGTGGCAGGGCTGAAATGCAGTGGAAATGTTTTTTTGGGGATTGAGTTAATTTTCATGGAAAATACAGACAATTAATTGCAATGTATCTGATCACTCTTCATAACATTCTGGAGTATATGCAAATTGCCATCGTAAGACCTGAGGCAGCAGACTTTGTGAAAATTTAATATTTGTGTCATTCTCAAAACTTTTGGCCATGGCTCTATTTTATTGAGATTTTGTTTTTTTGTTTTACGTATATACAGTATATAATAAATATAAAACACACACACAATACCTTGAAAAAGTATTCATACGCCTTGAAATTTTCCACACTTTGTCATGTTTTCAACATTTTTGACAAATATGTGAAAAGCGTGGCATGCATTTGTATTCAGCCCCCTGGAGTCAATACTTTGTAGGACCCCCTTTCGCTGCAATTCCAGCTTTTTGGGGATGTCTCTACCAGCTTTGCACATCTAGAGAGGGACATTTTTGCCCATTCT